AAGACCCCTAAGCCAAAAAGGCAGCTTAAAGAAATGACGGGGGAATCCAGTGGCCTCCAATGGATGTGAGAATAACAATTTTATTCAAATATTCCTGGGCTTACATTTTAAATTTAATTTTTCCTGTGCCAAATTTACGAATACTGTTTTCAATCTTGAACGTGATATGGATCTACTCGACCAAACACTTTTTAGCTTAAGCTTATTGTCGAGTCGGGTTCTAGTTCTGATTATATTATGTATTATGTCTACGTATGTATTATGTTCTATATATTAATTTAAGAATTATGTACAAAGATTGAGGAGCTAAGCAACAATGCATAGAGGTGGGGCAATTATTGTTTTATTATTGCAAAACAGACTTAACTATCATAATTTAAGTTGAAACGTTCTGTCAATTAAAAAGAGACTGCTCCGTCAATAGCCGAGCGTAGTGCCGGTTCGTAATACCTAATGTAATACAAACCTATGCAAGGCTTTCAATTGAGATATTAACCTTGTTAACTAGGCTACCGGGAACCGTTTCCTGCCACTGCTCACCAGCCGGTGCTAGGATGGCGTCTAACTAAATAAGTCATGCCCTGAATACACTTTCACAGACTCAGAGATAACACTAATAATAACTTTATACATAATAGATATCTAATTGCAATCGAAAGCATAAAGCTATGAACAAAACACGAGATGATAAAGTGCGGCTGAGTAGAATTATATTATATAAATTTTACCATTCGTGATGAAAAAGACTCAATTACCTGTGATAAATTATACGTACATAATATATGTACAATACGCATATGTAAAATTATACTCTTTATAAAGCTACACTTAATTTTAAGATCAATGTACTATGTAGTGCATATGTATATATTTTACATATTACATATGTATATACAACTAAACATATTCCAAAATTGGCATAAGGGGAAAGCAGATGGCATTACGTAACAAGACTGTTTTCGTGTCAGAGGACAACATATTAAGAGCACCTGAAGCGCTGAAACTTCATCTCGTTTATATGAAAGTTATTCAATTAGCAATTACTTAATTTTAAAAATGCGAGCGAAGTTGAATCGCAGACGCGCGCGCGGCGGAATTTACGAGAATCGTAAACTCATTTTATACGCATCGTCGATAGAGTGCTGACTTCGTAATTCGTACAGGAACCCGATGAGACAGGAACGATCAAACTTTTCGAGAGACTGCGGGCCAACGAGAAAACATTGAAGAAGTTGACGCCAGTTGAGACAAAAGGGTCCAAATATATGACTGGCGAGACTCGAACACACATTACACCAGTTTCGAAATAGTCGAAGATAACAATAGAACTTGTAAGTTTTATCGATGATATAACAGCATGATAATTTATGTTAAATCTTTTTTGATGTGAGGGGGTAGAGCAAGCGCACAGGCGGTTAAGATGATAAGTAATCATAGTTACCAATGCATATCCGATTTCATAAAGGGTAGCTCCAGTTATATCATCTACCAGTCGAAAAACTTATAAGTACTTATGAATTAGGTATTCGGAGTGGTTCATGACCATTCATGTATCGGTTCAAGCTGCTGCTTGACTCTACCATAAAAACCTAGTGAATGAAGTTAAATTATTTATACGTGCACGATACAATGAAAGTTATCTTTACAGCTTTAGCTAAGCTTGAATTTTGTTGATAATTCTTGACAGACAGTCCAATAAATGACAAGATCTACGACGGGGCCGCGGATATCGTATGAAAAATGTCTCGCACCCGTAGCAGTATAAGAACACTCAACTTGATCATAAATAAAAAGGCGAGCCAGCAGGATCCCGTCATCAACAGCCGTTGCGCCTGCGAAGTCTCACGTGATATGCTGTCATCGCACGAAAACATTGATCGGTAAACCTAAATGTGACTATCTATATTTTTTATAACTTATATTTATGAAAAAAACGTTTTAATTGAAGAAATGGCAACTCAGCAATAGGATTCATTTCAGAAGTTTTGCCTTAGTCAATGGCCGACAATTTTATTTTTCTTTTAAATTTAAGTCATAACATTATTGCCATATTAGATTCGATAAAGTGATCCTTTTGGAACCAAATCACGAAAATCTAGACCTGTACTGAATTAAGACAATTAAAAGAGAGAGAAAGAGAAATGCTGCCTTAAAATATTTTTTTCTTGAGTATATATGCTGATGTCTTAATACGAAACATAAACTACAACATAATAAAATACACGAAAGGCTCTATAGACCCGCGTTGACAAAAGCATCTTAGCAATTTAGCATTATTATTCAATCAAAATAGCTATCCCATGTAAAAAAAAAACATGTTTCCTTTTCCTGTCGGCGGCTGTTTTATTTTAGTATTTTTATCTCTTCTGCAGATTCTAGTAATTTATCAAGATATATCACTGAAGAGGGTTGCAAAGATGATGACGCTTAACCCGTCCGCTAATCTCGAGCTTTGATAAATCATGACACTTAAAATAATTTCACATTTTATCGAAGTGTTGCGTTCCCTTTAATCGCATTCTCTCTTTCGAACGTTCTTTCTGGATTTTCTTTAAATTTATTATATATTCAACTTCATGCTTACAATTACATGATCAAAAGAATTGGATAATTTGCGTTAGCATTTGGGACTTTTGATCAGTATTTTACGTGTATAAATATTAGAAATTTAAATAATTTTATAAATAATTACGCAAAGTGTCACAGATAATTTCTGAAACTACTTTCTAATACTTTTTTTTTAAAGATATGTATTTATTCGTATACATAAACGCCTCGCTTAGTTAAGTAAACAAGAGTATCACAAATTTTCTTTTAAAATTAAATGCCAATGTTTTTACCAGATTTCCTCATTATTCATGGGAACTATTGGTAAAAATACCCAAGGACACAGAGAAATAAAAAATAATTATAAAAATAATTACGTACAGCACGAAGCCGAACAACCAGTAGTGCCCGACCGCATACATTCGCTCTAACCAATGAAATAAACGGAGGTAGATTTTGCGTTAATTTTCATCATTATAATTATATCTTATTATGCCACTGTGAGTAATGCTATTTCTGTATTTGCTCCTTAAAACGTAGCTTTTAACAAGTTTGTAATAAAAAAGTGATAAAGCGGCCGGAGTATTAACAGTCAATAGACGTCGGCGCCTTCATAAATATTTAAAGAAAACCATAGGGATTTTACTTTGCAAACTAGGGAAATATGCCCGGGGTATTAAATATGTATGTTATGTAAATTCCGTTCTTCTCTAATTTTTATTGCAATCAAACTGTAAATAATTTTAGAATAAATTACAAAAGCTTAGGGAACAGTGGTCAGCACAGAATAGATTTAAAAATTTTTGAAGTGAAAACTTCTTTAGGCGCTTTGAGCACTTTTTGGGGGAACAAAAATTATGGAACTCGCGTCATCGTCACTGAACGCGTTCCGTGAACTATATGTATACTGTATATATATATATATATTTTGTGTACTTTTTGGGTGAACAAAAAACGTGAAAATCGCGTCCACATCACCGAACGCTTTCGTTCTCGCCGATTTTTAAAAAACGAATACGCAAAAATTTATTTGTAGTTATGGATATGACATACTGTTATTATCATTCGGAGCACCTATAAAATGTAGAATTAAATATTGTTTTGCAACAATGTTAATCTTGATATTGTTTTATGTTTTCACTTGTATCTGCTGTCTCCTGCTGACAAGTCAGAATCGTTATGGATTTTAATACCTGGCATTCATTCAACACTATATAACATTACACAGAAACGTAAATTCATGAATTCACGCCGCGGTCATTGAAACATGAATAAAAGCTTACATGAAATTTGGAAAAAAAAAAGGTTTGTCTAAAACTCGCGGAAAAAGTTGGAAATATATTTTACATTTTTTTTATATCCGCCGTGCGTCAGCTGGATTGTCCAAATGTTTTAAGCTCTTTTAAAATATTAACTACCTACCTGCGGCATATAAAATTTGAATACGCACTCCCTCGCTATTAGAACTACTAGAAAATTCGAATAAACATAAGTAATCAATAAATTTAATAGAAGGAAATTGTCCATAAAATCGACAAAAACAGATCTTACAGTCAGATATGGCAACTGATTCCTAAACAGGAATTATTCAATCTAATTAAGCCAAAGCTGCTGTAATCCATTTTAGTTAGATCATGCCATACAGTGAGAACCGCCTGTATTAAATATTATTCGTACATTTTTCTCGTGGGATTACTTATTTTACTTACATTATGAAAATTATAGTCAGATAAGACAAGATTCAATGCCAATATGTATAAAGTTAGATAATTGCTAAAATAATTGTCACTTTTCGATATCACAAAAAGTGTTAGAATCATTTTTACGGCACGTTGCGAGCACACATTATCATTATCAAAGTAGTTTATTTAACAAGTCCATTTTTTTATTAACGAAAAACAAAATCGAATTGAAATATCTCGTTCTGTATTCATTTTATAATTGATTTTAATGATTTCCCTAAGTATCTCCGGAGCCCAAGATCCATAAATGAAATTAATATGGGGCCGCAAGTGAAGCACCAGCCTTCAAATAAAAACAGAATAATCAAAATCGGTTCAATCAGTCGAAAGTTCTGAGGTAACAAACATAAAAAATACAGTCGAATTAAGAACCTCCTCCTTTTTTGAAGTCGGTTGCAAAAAGGCAAATAAATGGCGGTTACACTCCATCCCTTGCATATCTATCATTCGAAACATTCGTAGGTGAGTAGTTGCGAACAAGTAAACTAATGCCTACACCAGGCTGTCAACGGTGAGCGAAATCTCAAAGATTTTCTTGTTTACTCCTTGTCAGGGGTTTCGAGGGGCTTTAAAGAAAAACAAATGGTGAACCATTTAATGGGTCTACCACGTCGAAGTTCGCAGGAGATTTTCACCTTTTTGGAATTGGCAAACAAACAAACAACAGATAGGGGATCAAGTAGCCGCTTAGTTATGGCGCTCGCCTATTTAGGCAATAGCACGTTTCATGTTTTGCAAATTGTAGAAGTTCGAGGCGGAAACGGGCGGCGTGGCTGAGTGGTGGATAGGTGGCGTGCTACTGGGGAAGTTGGGTGCTACGGGGCCGAGTTTGGGCGCAATCCGAGGGCTAGGGCGGGCGGCCCGGTCACGCGCTCCACGTTTATCGCCGGCACGTCGCAGGACCTTAATTGATATTGCTCTAACGAAGACGCACTTGTCGTTACAATTTCAATATACCATATGACGTCGACTGCGCCGAGAATGCTTAATGCATATATGAAATAAACGAACGAAAAGTGAAAATGGATCATTTCAATTTTTTCATTTGCTTTTGGAAATCATTGACTCACGGTTTTATTCATATTTCACATTAATATCGTTCACGTTTAACACAAAAAAGTTTAATCCGCTGCACAAAGAACCGCAAAGTTTTAAGCAGTGTTAGCGATATAGAGTTAAGGCTTAGAAAAGTTAGCACTTTTATGGAAATTTTTAGAACATTTTAATGATATTATACACCACTTAAGTCCTAAAACTTTAATTAATTTACGATCATAGGCATCTCTTGAACGATAAATTTTCTGGCTTTAAATTTATTCAGATTTTGTATTCAATGAAGGACGAAACAATAAAACCGAATTTATTGAACACAATTAGACAAGATTAAGATAACCACTGTTTTACTGTAGATTTAATCATTTTACTGTGGAGACATTCCACTCCCATGGTCAAAGCAGTTTTAATTAAAAACCTTCTCAATAGAGGGTTGTCTAAATTCCAAGTTAAGGCGATTTTATCTGCCTCTTTTTCTAAAGAAAGATTTAATGAAATTTCGTTTTAGGCCAACCTTTTGCTGTTTTTTTTATTTTGTTTTATTAATCGAAGTCGGTTTAAATCGACAGATTTCTTTTATTGTGTAGCATTCAGTTCGTAATACATCCTTTCTATATTTATTGCAATCTTTGAAATTCAGATTACAAATATTTTCGTTTCTAATAACAGGCCCGCCTGCATTGTTAAATTTCGTTATGTGTTATATGCGGTTCGTTACTTGGATAATTTGTTATATATACGAATAGATGTGCATTACATGCTATTCGCAGCGAACTTAATAAAAAACTTAAGTATATTTCCGCAATTGCTTCTAGATGACCGCATTTTAAATTAAAACGAAAGAGGTAAAGAATTTGAAACGTATCTCTAGAGGAGCGGGGGCGAAAGAAGCAATCAGACGGAGGTCTCGCGTGATTAGTAGCTCCGTATAGTCATTTTGCGCTATACCATATTTTTTGATTCTTGGACCTGTTCCACATTGTTGTGTACATTAAGGTTAGACAATCCGATCTGAAGAGCTTGCAGTTAATCGTGCAAGTATCATTAAATGACTCTTCAAAATATAACATTTAGGTTATATTTTTAAAATTTCACGATTGTAAAATATATAACCTAATAAATGTTAAATGTGGCAATATTAAACCCCCAGTAACTCAGTATGTATGTCGCTAACAGCAACGAAGTGTATAATTTATTGAATAAATTGTTTAGTAAAACAAGGTTGGCTCCGTGGAGCTTTAGTGTATACAGGTGAATTGTGTCTGCTTTCACCAAATCAAATTTATTTTCGAGCGTTCTTTATTGCCGATCACTTCAAATTGTTGTATTTTTACGAGAACAAAGTATATACTTACTGAAATTATCGTGATGGGATATTCCTCTTTTCTACATATAATAATTTATTCCAAATTAGTTTTAAAAGTAAGTGATAAAGTAATGATACAAGTAACGATAAATTTGTTATTATACTCTTAATAATTTAAATATTCCGCCTAAATAATTTTAGTGATCGTTTTAAATTTTAATAATTATTCCGCCGTACAATAAAAAATAATTAATCAACGTAATGTATAGTAATGAACAGACAGTTTTTTGTTCGGTTACACTGCGAAAACTGCTGAACCGATCGGAATAATATTAACACCATAAAAAGCCTCGTGTTTCGGAGGTTTTAATATATGATATGCTCGTGATTACTTATCCGGAACCTATATTTAAACCTTGACTTAAAGAAGATGGTATGACCCAGCGAAGCGGGCGGATCTACAATCTAAAATCTATACAGCGTGTCGTTACGACCACGCCAATAAATGAACACACGTAGACATAAAGGATAACTTTTTAAAATATTATTAAATATTTACATTCCTTAAACATCAATATTTACCGAGTTATTAAATTTTCCAAAAAAAAAAAAAAACAGTTTTAGAACACCCATACGTACAAAACTGTAACGTAATATATATGCTTCACTGCTGGGCAAATACCTCTTCTGTACAGAGGGTATTAGATTGCCCCAGTGTGATTAGCAGACTTCAAATACCTTCGAAACATTTTTCTTTTTATTATTATTTCAAAAAGATGCAGGATTCCTCACCATGTTTTTTTTCACCGGTGAGCACATGATAAATTAAAATAATTCTAATTTAATATTACTGCATGTAAAGCACTTGCGAATTTTCAACAACAGAACGTAGTGCCTATACAAAAGATAACGATATTTCTCGCCAAATGAAAAGACTATGAAACAAGAAGCACAAACATTTCAGCGATAATGGGTGGAAAAAAGATAATTTCCATTTGTATCAGCAAGGAATAATGGGTTATTGTGTTGACTACACAATAAATATTAAGTTGGTGCAGCGGAGCATTTTATTTACTGGCGCTGCCGGGCAGGTCTCCGCCACGCTGTCAAATGTTTACGAGTTGGCGACGCTCATGGGCATAAACGCAGACTCAATTTATCGCCAACACCCGTATAGGAATCGAGACAGGCGACGATTCTAGACCGTTCGAGCAATGAAATCCAATTTAGGTTTATGTGTTCGGCCATATGCCACTCGATTTCTATTTAATATAAGCAATGGTTTCTTTAAAAAAAACATTCGGGGCCATTCTTTCGTTTTATCGTTAGGCTTAATTGCGCCCTTTGCAAACCGTTACCTAATTTACTAGGTACCGAGGTACACTTTTAACACAAAAGTATCATTTTATTTTGATTTCGCCGTCACTGACAACTATTAATAATCAGCTTGTGTCCGGTTTAATTATTGTTTTAAATAATTACAAATTTTTGACATTTGAATAAAGGTTTTTCCGAGTGCCTGTATTCGCAAGGACGTAACCCAATTTTTAAGCAAGATGAATTGTTTAGCGTACAAGTTTTGAAAGTACAACAAATCTTTTCAAATTTTCTAAAACATGAAGGGATGTCGAGACTGCTTCGATAAACAGGATGTTTTCCTAGCGAAAATAGGCACTTGAAGGTAACCCCTTTGACGTTAAGTCTGGCCTTCGCCCGTCGTGGCATAATATGCCCAACTTTATGAAGTACTAGTACTCAAGATAATTATTATTATGAGAAGCTTAATAAAACTCAATAGAAACGCGCCTACTAATAATATCGTTTGCGCTAGCTTGCCCACCTCGGTTTTTCGTGAATTCAGAGATGTTAATTACATGAATTCTTCCAAATTGCACCAATTGTACATTGAAGTTTTTGACGCTTTATGAAATAACAGATGCACGACTAGGTAAACTGAGCAATTGTGTTTCCTACAAAAGTATTCAGAATGAATTTAATATTAAACGGATTAAATAGATTAATCAAACAGACTTTACTTCTAAGTATTAAAAAGGATACTGTTTTGTATTTTCACTATCTATTTTTGAGAGATAGATAGATAGTCCTAAAATTTTTATTATTTTTAACTACGTTGAAAACGAGTGAAGTCAGTAAAAGCGTGAGCTACGTATAGATCTTAAGGAATATGTCAATTTAACAGTTTTTTTTTGACAGAACATTTATAGTAGAAATTATTTGAAACGGTTATTTGTTGCCCAAGTTAAGGACAAATTACTCCACTGTTTGCGTTAGCGTTTTATCTCCATCAGAATCGCAAGAGATATTGAAGAAGATAACTAAAGTACTCGAATTAATTAATAAATTTCTCTCAGTTCGAGATTATTAACCTTCCAGTGGCGCCAGATGTTGACAAGTAAAACAGGCGAGTTATGAATTTTAATGTCTCCTCGACGAAAATCTTGAGGAATATTGAACACAGTAAAAAAATAATTAAAATGGAGCAGCTTGTTCATAAATAGTCCAACAGCGCCTGGGCAAAAGCGGGTGAAGATGTTAAAAATGGATCTTAAAAAACGTTTTTCCTAATATGTGAATTTATAGTGACGCAACGGTCTTCTCTGTCCCGCGAATGGGCAACCGGCGTACACGACCTCGCAGAAGACCGGCGTGAAGTGGCAGTTACACTTCTGCGTTTTGTCTGGTGAGTGAGGTAGCCGCGGTCAACTTTATTAAAAGGTGGCAACGCATCTGCAACCTTACGGATGTTACAAATGTCATTCAATGACAATTGCAATTTAATGTCACGTTTTACTCTTACTTCCAAATTAGCAATACAATTACATAAAACATGCAATATGTAATATCGTAAAATAATATACAGCAACAAAATTTTGTCGTTCAAAGAAAATTTGTCGTTTTAATTGAATTTAATTCTAAAAATGCAAAGGGTATAATGCATATAAAAAGACGCCAAATACAAAAGAACATATGAGTGCAAAAATAACCTAATAAACAAGAAATGAATAATTTATCTGATTATTTTCGCCGGCCATCAAAACATACACGTGTATAGATAATACGAAACTAGGACATTTTGTCCCACAGAGTACAGTAGACATGTAAGGGGACTCTTCAAAAGACTTGAGTGTAATGGATACATTGTATACATCTATAGGTTGCCATGTTCGTTCCAAATCAGGAATCCGAGAGCACAAACAACGCAGCCATTGTACTCTTACTTATATATAGTGCTCGTATGGTCCGGAATGTTTCGATGATAGCTGAGGGCTATGACGCACATTTGGACAGGAAATTTGCAACGATGCCGGCTTCTATGAAGAATGCACTTTAACTGAAAATTTAAGCATTATAAAATATAAGCATTATTTTTAGTACCTACCTGGATGACACTGAGGTTCACTTGTTTTTTTTTTCTCACAAAAGGAGGAACTTGTAAAAAAAGGGAAAAAATAAAGAAAGGAAAAATCATCTGGATTTGAACCGGTTTCCTCCTGTTTCGGAACACTTGATATACCACCTGAGCTATTATAACCTTTTAGGTGGTGGCGAAATTTACCTTCGTATTCTTTGACGTTGTAGCAGTTTTTCATAAAAAAAATTAAATTTCAAGAAAATCGTTGAAGCTGTTTCAGAGATTCATATTATATTTACATAGATGAAAGAATTGCTCTTAAATAGAAGCTTAAAAATAAAGTCTATCTT